GTTGAGGGTTTTGGGTTTTGGGGTTCGTTACGGTATAGAGAAGGGTTGGTATAGCTCTTCGACGCTCTCGGCGACCCATGAAGCTGCTAAAGTAGGGTCCCGGATCAACCCAAAAGCGACGGCACCCTTGAAAAAAGAACCCTGAACGGGACCCTAATTTAGATAGAACTACCGCGGCGAATAGGGGAAGTCATTCTCCTGGAGTGGTGGCCACAGAGCTTCAGGCTTTATTTTGGATCTTCAGAGCTTCAGGGTTCAAAAACTGATGTTGTCTATTGTTTCTCTTTGCAGCTCTCTCTCTCTCTCTCTTCTTCNNCTCTCGCTCTTTCTCGCTCTCTCTCTCTCTCTCTCTCTCGCTCCGTTTCGCCGTTCTGTCTCTGTCGTTCTCGGCATTCAATGGTCCTACACGGACTGACAGAGGGGAGGGAGAAAGTAAGCTAGGGCTTTGGGTCAGGTGCTGTAGAAGCTAATCTCATGCCAGCTGTCGCGAGAGACTGGGAACAGCAGCAACAATGATGAGGAACGACTACAGCCGCAGTGTCTCAAAAAAGGCTTGAAATGCTCAACAGCTACTAGGTGAAATCCTAATGCATGAAGATCTTCAGCCAGGAAGTCCTGCGGCCAAGTCCTCATTCAAAGGAACACTTAGCTACCTGGTCTACCGTGCACACTTCTGGCCTTAGGCCGACACTCTGCTCAGGAACTCCGAGGGTAAACCTGCTACACCTGTCCGAACACCACTAGCTCCGAAATCCGAATGCTTGGGCCGCCACCATTCTGGAGGTGAGCCGATGGGCGACTGCGACGGCAAACGACGTGTTTGGGGATTCGGTGTGTAAGCTTGATGAGATTATCACCAGTATCATGGCCGTCTCGTGGCCACAATCATCATCATCAACAGCAACAGCAACCACATTTCATTCACACGCAGCGGGAGACGATATCCTGGGGTGAGACAGCTTCCTCGCTTTGCGAGTAACAGCAACCACAACAACAACAACAACAACAACAACAACAACAACAGCGGCAGCATCAAAATCAGCATCATCATCATCATCATCATCATCATCATAACCATCACCATCACCAGTACTGTGATCACCGTCATCACTCTCTTCATCATTCTCATCACCATCATCACCATCGTCATCATCAAACAAACTGATTGGAATGGCCGTCTTCACCCTAATCATCATCATCATCACAATGACAATCAGCATCACGACAATCATCATCATCATCAACAACAACAACATCATTATGATATTGTTCTTCCGCTGTGTCACCTTCATCATCATCAGCATCCATCAACCTCACATCGTCATCACTACCATCAACATCATTATCTTCAAACTCTCCATCTTCAGCAGCATCGCCGTCATCAGCAGCAGCAGCAGCAGCAAGACCAACATCGTCACAGCCACCGTCATCATCTTCATCATCATGCTCAGCATCATGGGCAGCACAACCCTCACGACCAGAACCAAACGTATCTGTGCGGTCAACCCCACCACCATCATGAGATAAATCCCCTGTGGACGGAAGCACCCTTCTTATCAAGGACGCTAGAAAAAGGAACAACTTGCTTGTGAGACATCCCGTAACCTCCAGACCCTGAACCTCACACCCTTAACCCGGAATTCCTAAACTCGCTCCTGCAAGCCCTAAACCCTTACCCCTCAAGCCTACAACCCCAAATTTCCCCAAGCGCACAACCCTAAACCCTAAACCTCAACCCTCAAACCTTCAAGCAAGCTCCTGCCCCCACTAGCCCGTACCTTCGGAGAAGCTGGAAGCTCCTCTGGAGTTTAGTATTTAGGGTTTAGGGTTTGGGGTTTAGGGGTTTAGGGTCTAGGGTTGAGGGCTGTCCGTTTGGGGTTTAGGGTTTCGGTTCAGGGTTTAGGGTTTAGGGATGCCGGTTTCGGATTTCGCCAAAAACACCGCCCAGCCTATGTCACCAGCAGGGGATGTCCCTAACACAGCCGTCTTGTTAATGCATAGAACCAGGCTCCAGATTATACATGCACATTTTAATATGACTACGTAGAACTGCCAACGGATACTCTCCCTGAACCCGAGACCCTAAACTCTGTTAAAGGGTACTACTTACCCTTACCTCTATCTTATCCCAGGGTCTGGTGTTGTGGCCTTGTGCCAGGAGTTCGGGAGTCGGGGAGCTTCTGAGGCTTGAAGGAGTTCAGGGGTGTTGGGGGGTAGAAGTGGGTTTAGGGTTTAGGGTTTAGGGTTTAGGGTTTAGGGTTTAGGGTTTAGGGTTTAGGGTTTAGGGTTTAGGGTCCTGGGATTTTGGATTTTTTTGGGGGAGTGCGGGGTTTGGGCTTCAGTAGGGGTAGCTTGTTTCTTCACTTGTTGTTTAGGACCTAGGCTTTAGGGTGTAGGGTGGACCCTACAAACAGTCCCTCTCGTAAGGGTTGTTCCCTTCGGAACACCCGCTGCCCCGAAGCAACCTACCTCCAAAACCGAAGAAACTGAACCCTAGGCCGCTCAGCTCCGAAACCTCAACACAAAACCACCAATAACTGCCCAAACCCTAAACCCTAAACCCTCAAGTCCGACGGTCCTAAATCCACAAGCCCCTTAAACTTAGACCCAGTTTAGGGTTTTGGGTGAAGGGTTTGATAACCCTTAGGTTGAGACAATAAAATTAACAAAAAACTAGTCGCCAAGGAACCACGGAAACTCTAAATCCTGGACCCTGGGCCCTAACCCTGCCCTACCCTAAAACCCTCAAACGCTGAACCCTAAAACTCGCAAACCCCCAAACCACTAAAACCCCTAAAACTCGAAAACCCTAAAACCCCAAAACCCTAAAACCCTAAACCCTCAAGAGGTTGACAGAGAGCCCTTTCTCCGGCCACCCTTCGCAGCTCCGCGGTTTCTCACAAAAATCGGACCCGCTGCTCAGTTCTTCTTCTTCTTCTCGAGCTTGCGCTTGTAGAAGTTCAGCTCCTGTGTGCAGGGGCTTGGGGTTTAGGGCAAAATAGCTGGTTTAGGGGCCTTAATGAGAATAAGCTTTGGGGATCCATCATACTATGATTATAATGAGGAACCCCCAAAAGTAGTATTGGTAATTATTTCGGCCCCTATATTGCAGGCCTTGAGTGCCTGGGGGCTTTTGGGCTAAGGGCGTTCAACGGTCTGCGCGCTTCGCGCTAAGGTGTCCAAGACAACACACGAAAGGGTTTAGGGTTTAGGGCTTCACCTTCATGCTTGTATCTTCTGTATAGCTGGTATTTAAAAGGAGCTATAATGCCTTCTACTTTGCCTTCCACGCCTTAAACCCTCAAGCCCCACAAACCCTAAACCTAAAGCCAAAATCCTTAAACCCCATATACATCGGTAACGAATCTTACATAATCTTGCACAAAACTTGTAACCCCCCTGCCCCCCCTCCCCTCCGCACAAACCTTATTGAATTCGAAAAACACCCTGCAAACTCGCACTAACACCGAGCCCGAGGAAGCAAAAAAAGTCTCACCGGGCCTCAGAAACCCTAAACCCGAATCCCTAAAGCCTAACCCCTAAACCCGAAACCCGAATCCTTAAACCCTAACCCCTAACCCCTAAAATGAACCCTGAACCCGAATCCCTAAACCCTGACCCCTAAACCCTAAAATAATCCCTAAACCCTAACCCCTAAACCCTGAACCCCAAACCCAAACCCCTAAACCCTAAACCCTAAACCCTAAACCCCAACCCCCAAACCCTGAGCCCTAAGAGGGCCTCGCCCTCCAGGACGTAGCCGTCCGCGCGGCCGCACTGCCCGGGCCTCGAGGCGATGCAAGCCAAGAGTCGGCCGCTCTGGAACTGCTCCTCAGGGCTTTGGGTTTTTTGGGCTTTAAGGCTTTAGGGTTTAGGGTTTAGGGTTTAGGGTTTAGGGTTTGGGGTTTTTTAGGGTTTAGGGCTTTAGGGCTTTAGGGTTTAGGGCTCAGAGTTTAGGGTTTTAGGGTTTAGGGTTTAGGGTTTGGGGTTTAGGGTTTGGGGTTTTTTAGGGTTTAGGGCTTTAGGGCTTTAGGGTTTAGGGCTCAGGGTTTAGGGTTTTAGGGTTTAGGGTTTAGGGTTTGGGGTTTAGGGTTTGGGGTTCTTGGTTTAGGGTTTAGGGCTTTGGGT